TTTTCCAATCTTAATGATTCCATGATTCTGTGATTCTAAAGCATCCCAAATTTCTGAATAAATAACCATTTTCCAGGCCTATGCTGTCTTGACATTTTTAATCTTAAAGAAAGGAGAAAAAAAAGAAAAGCAAGAGCAAACCCAGCCCTGTCCCTTTCAGATTCCTCTTTCCTACAAAACAACAGCTCAAAATACAATTGCCAATAATAAAGTAGAACAGTTGAGTGTGAATTGCATTTTAGAGCTTCACAGAGGAAGAAGTACAATCAATTCAGAAAGCCCAGGTCTACTAAATCATTCAAATGTAAGATTCTCCAAATATTGGTTCAGGGATCACTTATAATCAGTCAGGCCTCTTACCTGAAATGCCTTTAAAATTAGCAGTGATGGGATCAAATGCGTATCTAATTCCCAAGGCAGAAAAAACTGTCTTTAGGTCAAAAAGGCTTTGAATACTGAACCTGAAATTAATATGAAAGATTTTATTTAAATGCAGGATTTGTAATTTCATAGAGCTAAAAAGTGGAACAGATACAATTTATTTCAAGCCTTTGCACTTCATCCATTTACTTCTGTATGAGCCCAATGCGTTCCATCTGATTAAGTGTACTTTGCAGAAAAGCGACTCATCTTCACCTAAGGCATTCACAGAAGGAATCCTTTGTCTCCATCTATTGCAATCAGACCACCTCTCAGTCTTCCTGACACATGAACTCTGTGTTTCCCCAAGTGTCCTCTTTTTAACAATCTTTTTGGCTCTAGCAAAGGGCCCTTTGAAACATTTGCAAAAGACTGGCTTGGAGAAAAAGAGTAATAATATACAAATTGTTTTTCAGAGCCTTGTTAAGGTGGAGAATGTATTGTGAGAGATGTATAACGAAGCCCTTCCATGTTGATCCATACAGTAGGTACAGCCACAAAAGGCCCTCCTGCACCTGATTCCTCTGTTATGCAATTTCATTTGAATAGATGATAGAAAATACCGCCAGGATATGTGTGTGCTTTTGCTAACAACGGCAAATGACTAATGTGGAAGATGGATGGCTGAAACTTGCTTTGTGCACAGAAAGACGAGCATGACTGGTGGGGGGCCCCAAGTTCTTGGTAGAATACTTTTGTAGTACACTGACAAGCAAGCTGTAAAAATTTTTTAGGCTATATGTTTATTCTTCCTTAAGCAAAGAGAAAAATGTAGTGAGGGAAAGGGCCAGGAACATTTCTCTCTTTTATATCCTTAAAGGATTGTTGTACCCCAAACAAATTTTAAATGAAAGCTGCAGGATCAACTGAAATACTTATTTTTTTTAAACAGTAGAGAGCATACCAGAAAGTTTTGGCATTCCTAGCTCACGTCTTCATGGCCTAAGAAAAGGTTAGAGTTTTCCTGATCATGTGGTGAATAACAAAACGGAAAGCATCTCATTTGATTTTGTTTCACATATTGCTTGTGTCAGCACTATCACACAGAATTCTGACAACTGAAGTAGTGAAGCCATCTTGGAGTACTAAGATTGCTTACCTAGGCAGAAAAATGTCCATCTTTGTTCTCTTTAAGCTGTTGGCCCAGAGGGTTATGGTTTTGGCAGAAAGGTGAGACTCAATCTGGGACAAAGATGTTCTTTTGTGGCTGGGAAGCACTAGGAACATGCTGAGTTTCTCTCCCAGGTAGGGTAATTCGACCATGCTGAAACCCTCCAGATCTGCAGTCTGGAACTGGCCTGTGGGATGGAAATATAGATCTTATTTCATCATTCAAGTGGGGGAAAAACCCAAACCCCACAACCCAAGCCTGGGGCAGCAGACGGTTCAGAACTCCAGGGATGGGATGTAAGAGGTTGTCTTTAATGTGTGGGCTCTTGCAGCCAGCTCACGTTGCTCTTAACTCACAACAGTAGTTCATCTCAACAGAGCTGTTTGTCTCAAAATAAATACATTAATATATATATATCTATATATATCTTGCCAGAAAAATGCTAATGACACTAGTAGTCTCTGAAGTACTGTCTCAAGAGAGTATGGATATTTTGTTACTTTCTCATATAGTAGCTGTCCTCCTTGCTCAGAGTTTAAAAAAAACATTACCAAGGCAATGACAGTAACTTAATGGTGGCTGTTCTTGCAATGCTTGTTCTTTGAATAAACTTACCATCTTCTCTGTGATTTCCATCTAATACCTTTCACTAGAAATTCACTACTGAAACAAATTACATAAACAAATTGAGGAGTGTCCTAGTTAATTAAATGAAACCTATTTTGCCTCGTGTTTCCATTTTCACTACCTTTTAAGATCAGTTTCAACCTTATTTCAAGAAACAAATAGCAACATTAAACAATAAAGTAGTTAGGTTTATGCTTATTTAGGCACCAAATTCCATCTTTTTGAAAATCCAGGCCTAAAACATATCAAAATCAGATGAAGGTTATAAAAACCAGTCTCAAAAGTAAAAGCTGGTGGGCTTCTAAACTTGTAATTAGTTATGCAACAACTTGTAACAGCCATTCAAAAAGTACCATTTTAATTCCATATTTCAATGAACAAGTAGTCCAGGCATTTCTAATGGACTCCGTTATACAGTAGAACAGATTCCATCATCACAATTTTATTTTCTTATTTTTTCATCTGTTAATCCAATAAATAGCATCTCAGAAACACTCAGCAATAGTTAGCAGGCCAGGATTTAAATACAAGTTGCACGCAAATGACGTATCATTGCCATTGCTGCAGGCCATCCAAAGTATTTAATCTACTCCCTCTTCACCCAGCTGTAGTAGTTGTATCTTCAAGGGCAGATATTCATGCTTTTTGAGTCAGTGTTTGTAAATAACAGAATGTAGGTATCTCATGTTCATAATCCCTAAATATTTGCCAATAAATAAGTAGCTATAGCATGTCTCAAATATTTGGTGTACAACATTTATTTGTTTTGCAGATCCGGATCTGACAGGATTCATTAAGTGTTGATTATTCTGATAGATTAAATTTTAGGCTCTTAGATTAGCCCTCCTGCCATGCGGTGTGGAGAAGGAACTGCGCTGTTCAAACTGCCTCCCAGCACATGGATCACTTTGCCGAGAAAAGACCTTCTGGTTTGTAATGGGCAAGCAGGGAAGATTTATGTTTGTGGTGCATGGGACGTGATTGTTTTAATCTGTGGGCATGCTGATATTTTGAAGTCAGCACGTTGTGCACAAATTTTATACAGATCTTATTTGTTAATTAGAAAGAAAATCAAAGACTTGAGATTATTGAGTCAGAATGTTTAGCGTTCCTAACTTGAACTGCTTTCGAGCATCCCGTAAGAATTAGAGATATGCTAAATCAGTACTCAAATATAGTTAACAAATTGCTTGGAAAAATGAATATGTAAAATAGCTGCAGTGTTTATAAGGCTTGTGTAAATAGTAATGTTGACATTGTCTTGGAGAAGTGTTAATTGTCCCCAGGCTGATTTGTTCTGTGTGGCCATATTAAAGGGATAAACAACATTGTAAATGCTGACATTGATAACAGGCCAAACTCTGCACTTCTGAGTAAAGTCAGTTAACTCATAAATGATTCAGATGCAAAGAAAGAAAAGAATAATCAAGTCACAAAGGGAAATAAAAGTGAGACAAATTGAAACATCAAGTAGATGAAAGCAAAAAAAAATCTTTAAGCTTTTTTGACTTGGTAACGATTTTGATAAAAAGGCACAGATCCAGCCATCTAATTTTAAGTAAAACATTAAACATAGTTTCACTATGGCACTATTTACAGGTAGAAGTGATGGCAATTAAAGCAAGAAATGAAAGGCAGCAAGCAACCACTTGAAGGGGAAACTACAATGAACCAAGTTAAAAGTCGGGCTCCCAGGTTGAAAAGAAGTTACCAGTGGCTTTCCAAAGTATTGCCAACACTCAAGACTTTCATCAAAGACAAACAGTGAGGTTGCCATGATGACTGGAGTGGTGGAAATCAAATGATGGTTCAAAAACACACAAAAAAGTATGTAACTGTGGAGATTTCCCTCCCCTTGGTATACCTAGGATGCATCAGCTGGAAAAAAAATGGAGAAAGAAAAAAGGCTCAGGTGGGGTCAGCCTTGAGTAACCACCCTGAGCTGATTCTGAGGTGCACTATGCAAGGTATTTTTACCAAGTCATAGAAATACTAAGAGCATTTTATCGAGCATGGATATAACCTTATTAAAAGCATTATGTACATTCCTGGTCACTTATTTTCAAGAAAGATTAATTTAAATTGGAAAAGTGCGGAAAAGGACTTGTGGAGAATTGGAGTATCTGTTTTTTTAATAGATTAGAAAAGCCTGACATCTTCAGCTTAGCTAACAGGAAATTGAGAGGCAGCTTGGTGACTGGCAAATATATTTGTGAGTAAATATCAAAGCTGAAGAGAAACTATTTAACTTAAAAGATAAGGTACCAAGGTACTTCCAGTCTCTCCTGTTCCCTTCTCCTGGCATGTTATCTTGGTGCCTTTTGGTTGTATGCTATAGCTGACAAGTTGTTATGGAGTGCTGGGAGGTGCTGGTTTGTGAGGGATGAGGCATGGACAATAGATATTTTAGGAATGATTTTGAACCCAGGATCCGTTTCATGATTGCTTGGGATAAGGAGTCAATTTAGTCACCCAGGTGGTCTCTTTTGTTTGATGGGATTTCTCCTGAGACTTCTCCAGGCTGGGAAAATAACACATCTTAGCATGGCAGTTGTGGAAACTAAATAAAACCGTTCCATGTTGTACAATAGAGCAAATCTGGATTAAGGACCGTTACCGTAGTTAACTTCGGCTGTGTGATGCATTGTGGGCACTTTCAGGGTTGAGCCCTCCGCCGTGGTAAAAGGCAACATCTGGGTATCCATAAAGGAAAACTTATTTTGCCATGTGCTTTTGAAGTACATGGTGCTCACCAGGGTGACCTGGCTGAGGGGTGACGCAGCGCTTTCCAACGGCATGCCACGCATCTCCCCATCTGCAGAAAAAAGAGGCGAGGAGGGGGACACACGCTGTCCTACTCACCCAGGCCTAAAGACCAGGTCTGTGTGAGTAAATAAAGCAATCTGGGACCACTCTCTGTCCCTAAGACCAAGAGGCACAACTCATAAGGCACTGCTAAACCTTCTACCTTCCCCTCCCCACCTGAACACAGACCTCACTGGGGTTGCCTGTTGGTCCATGCTCTCCCCTGAACCAAGCTCAAATTAGTCAATGCCAAGGGCCAAAGTTGTGCCGGGACTGTGCTACTGGCTGGACAGTGTGGGTGACAGCAGCCCAGTGCTCAGCACCATGCCATGGCCCTAACTGGCCTTCTAGCATAAATGTGTCCACACATATCTTGCAGTGGCTCATCTTTAGCGCCAGAAATCTCTCATGAAATGGATTCGTGGTTACAGATCGCTTTATGAAGTAACTAAGTCAACTGAAGCTCATATCCTAATTCTCTCCCTTTCTTATTTACCTGGCAGTTCAACTGACCCTGCTTTGGATATCTCAAAGATTTTTGAAAGTGTGGTCCACTTTTAATTAATCAATACTTGTATGACTACTACAGCATTTTAGTTCCTGCTTCTAGAGCAATACTTTTCTATCATGAAGCTGGGTCACTTATTACAGTTCACTAGAGAAGGACAAGAGGTTTTTTTCGATAGCATCTTTAATGTGTGTGTTTAACATCACTTTACTTGTTGATGGCCAAATTAACATTCACATAATTTAAGTTGATGGGGCAAATTGGGGATTGATTTTATCTGCTGCTTCTAAGGACTTACATTTTCAATTATTTTTTCGCTAACACAGAATTTAATTTAATCACTTTTCTTGCTTGTGTGGAAAGTAAGTTCATTGTATTTCCCATTTTGACTTTTTACACTCAGAGTCTGACTGCTGGGCTTATGGCCATGTGTGTTCCCTACAGCACCATGAAAGCATTCAATGCAGCAAACTCAGTCCCTGGGGAATTTGGCTGCCCCTTATTAAAACTGAAAACACTGCAAAGGACTGCCATTTTGATAATTAGAGGAACAAGGTCAAGCAGTTACCAGCTTGATACTCCAAACTTATACTCACAGATTCAGACCTGTCCCAGCTCTTTCCTCACATTAGAAATGAGCATCAGCACAAGAGTTAGATTTCCCATCTCTCAGCCTTGTTTTGGAAAACAGAGAGTGTGGCAAAAAGCTTTGTACTTGGTTAAATGCAGGTTCTCTCGTTACTCTTATTTGACATTTTATTCATGTGCAACTGTTCTCATGGGCTGTTACATTACCTCCAAGGCTACTGGTGATCCATTCGTGCATTTGGGCTGCGGTTCTGTTGAGGTCAGTGAAGTTGGTTTGCTGCAGGCTGCTGTTTGCCCAGCGCACAGCATGTGCAGTGAAGATGGGCGAAAGCTGCACACTGGCATCCACAAAGAAGGAACATGCTAGCTGAACCACCATGCCTTGTCTGGAGTCGGTTGCTCCTTCGTACACCGTGTGCAAGAAATCCTGCACATTTTGATCTGCCAGGGAAGAGAGAGGGAGAAACTGCAATTATCATGTTGAGGCTAAGGACAGCAGAGGTGCACCAGGGCTCAGCAGCTCTCAACTCCAGTGCTGACACCAATGTCCTCTGGAAGTTAAAGCACTATAACAACTGAAGCACCCTTGACTTTATGGGGTATTACCATCAAGCACTACTGTGAAGGATGGTGACACACTGGTCGCAGGAAAGTACTCTTCATGTTGCAGTAGAAATCACTTTAGTGCAGATATGTCAGGTGATGGATTTCACATCAGGCTCACATCTCTATGCAAACATAGCTCTTCCAGTCCATAAGAAACCTTATTTTCTTTTGGGAACAATCTGGGTTCACATTAGAGAGACCTAGTGCCTCTGGCCGTGAGTGGCTGAGCTGCCGATGCCGCAGTACCACCATCTCCTTCTCCTGCCGTTATCAATGCCACCCACTCCAGGAAAGGCATCTCCCTGACTGCCCCAGGTCTGTCTCTGCTATCCTTGGCCTTCATGTGTTGTTTTGTTTCTTGAAGTATGGTGCCCCAAACTGGCCCAGTATTGCAGATGAGCCCTGGCAATGCTAAATAGAGCTGATAGGTTGCTTCATGTGTGTTACAAGTGACTCTTTATACAACCCACAACAACATCTGCTTTTTTCTGAAGTACAGCTGTATTTCCCACTCAATAGTCTATTTTTTTTTTTTAATTCCTAACAGCCCTCAGGTCCTTTCCTAAAAAACTATTCTTTGTCTCATTCTTCCTCGATTTGAATGGCTGATTATTCCTTCTAAACACAGAGTTTTACACTTGTCCTTATTGAACTGTGTCCTTTTCACCTCACACATCTCTCCGATTTGCCAGGATCCTTTTGAATTCTATTCTGATCTACCAAAATACTTGTAGCAACTACAAGATCAGTATAATTCAAAGATTTTTGTCTACTAATGAAAACAGTTGAATAGTGCCCCAGTCTCCTGTGCCTGGGGAGCTCATGATAGTTTATAGAATCATTGACTGGTTTGGGTTGGATGGAACCTTTAAAGGTCATCTAGTCCAACCCTCCTGCAGTGAGCAGGGACATCTTCAACCAAATCAGAAGGGTGGTGGCTTCTGAGATGGATACAGGGTTGGGGTGTGGGCCCAGCAGGAAAATGACACCTGCAAACTTAGAGGATCTTGTGTTTTTAAAATCACAATATTTCTTGTAGGGTTCTGTGAAGGGTGATTCAGCAGCTGTTTCTGGCTGTCATTATTTTGATCACTGTACTAGTTTGTGATGGGATGGTTCATGCTGAGGTGACCTTCTGAGGCCTGGACTTGTACCCAGTCTGAATGGTGTTGGTGGGCTCTGTGTCAAATCTCTAACTTCTTGTGTTCACAGTTCAGCCCCTTTCCTATATCCTTTGTTGTGCTTTGGAGGAGACTTACCTACACCCAGCCAACGAAAATCTTGTTGAGATTGTTGCTTGCCTTTAAGATGTTTCCAGCAGGTTCCTCCTCCCATAAGTAAGCTTTCCCTGAGGACCAGGAAATTACCAGAGCTTGCTCTTCTTTAGCAAGACAGCAGTGCCTCTTGGCTCTACAGGACCACCAGGACCTCTCTGCTTTGCTCAGGGGAAGATGTACCAGGTGTCCAAATTTCTGTGTGAAACCTAAGCAACAAACTGTTGTCCACTGTCTCCAAAAGGGGTCTATGTTGTGCTCTTCGCCTCTCCAGGGTACCATACTTGGGCTTAGGTACTCCTCTGCCTTGACTTGAAGTCCTGGGGTGCCCTGGACAGCCCTCGGGTATCCAGCTCCCCATGGGAATGGCTGTGCTTGGCGTTATGGCCCTGTCTAGAAATCTTGGTTTTGACTCCAGGGAGAACTTAGGCAAAGGAAGGTGTCACCCAGTTTCTCCAGATGCCTGCTGGTGTAGGCAGTGCTGGAGGGAAGTCAGGCTGGGCTGTCACCTGGGACATGGGTGGTTTAGGGTGGCAAACTGGGGAAGGATTTATCCCACCTGGACCGACCTGTCCCAGGCCGAGCATCAGGATCACCGTAAGCCTCCAGCTGCCAGCCTGCTCCCTGATCTCATCAGGAGACTTTTACTGCATTGGTTCAGATTCTTGATGGGGTAAAAGGGGAGTTTCACGTCTGCTGGTTTCTACCGCCTGAGAATCCAGTGCGTGTTTTCTGACTTAACTGTGCTCCTTTAATGACCTGCAGGAAGACTAATGACCTAAGGGAAGATTGGTATTAACACTGAGATCTATTACTCTTTAAGGAATAAGATATTGAACTCGAACAGATGTCAAGAAAACTCACACAGTCTGAGGTGCAAAGTGCTTTTCTCGTGTGTTTTGCATTAGTTCAGGAGCATTTGGCAAGCTCTCTGGAGGATGTGAGAAATCAAAGACAGCAAACTGGAAGCAGATGTTAACGTGAGGTGTGGTACCGGAGCTTGTAACTTCAGTCATATCAAAGTGCTTAGCTAACCAAAGTCCTGAATTCTTACTTGGAAAACAGTTCAAAATTGCTTTTAAATACTCTACCATTGATAAAATAAAACAGCAAGGAGAAAGCATTTCAAAGCATGTCATTTTGTCTGTGCTGTCTAGAGAGATATCCCTTTATACATTGTATTTCTTAGTACTAGAATAAAGGTAAACAAATCTTCCAAACATTAAAAGAAGATTACAAGTGCATCTAAGAGCGGATTCTCCATGAATAGTGAATGAACCATCAATGTTTTCATTGTTTTCAGCCTGCTAAAGTTGTAACCACACCCTTCATTATTGTCTAAGACAGACCAACAGAAGCACTAATGCAAACGTCTAATGGAAGAAAGGAATTTTATCAGATATGCATACATACGTGATTCGGTTTTACTCATCTGATAGGAAATTTGATCTAAGTATTTGATTTATTTATTTGGTTTAAACCATTTGAAGAAGTGATTTCTTTCTCTGCCACTGGAAATGTGATGTTACAACCAAAGGCAGAAGATCCCATCCTACTTTTTCACATTCTATGCATTAATATTACTGAAAGTCAAAGCTCTTGTGGCTTGTGCCACAGACAAGTGAAATAGAGATAAAATGTCTGCTTGATATGATGTGGCACATGAGAAGAAGTAAGGCAGCACAAAAGAGCTGGCAAATCATTAACAGCCTCTGCACTTTTCCTCCTTACATTTTGTGTACGATTCTGTGCCTGAATTTCACTGTGCAATTTTATTCTTAAGGTTCTTGCTTAATAACTGAGTCTCTAATGACCAGAAGTGTGAAGCAAGGGGTAATCCTTGTATGAATTAATGTTGTTTAAAATTATCCTACTGAATTTACAGAAACAGGAGTCTTATAGGCAAGACTTCATTATATCAGCTGCTCATAATACAGATGCACTGTCCTTGGGTCAGTATGTGCAGCTGTATCTGTATATATCAGACAGAGTTAGCTCCTCCTGCTGTGTTGGTTTTGGATATCAATGCTATACAGAATGGTAATGGTGACTAAGACAGTTACAGCTCAGGATGGTGAAACTGCTGTAGGTTTTATCTTTAGTCTTCATATGCTGAAAGTAGATTTTATGCTGAGAAATAGCAGTGTCATCTCTATACCTAAGCCTTGTATGTAAGCTGCAAATTTTGAAGATGAGGCAGTCATCTGCTTTTCATAAACATTGTAAAATAGTTTTTGACGTGTGATGTGAGATGGTAGGATAATCCACAGCTAAAATGAAAACAGCATCCTTACATTCAGCTGACTTAATGTTAGATTTTAAGACATCTGCCTTTTCCATATCCCTTCCAGATTCCCAGTGAGTTTTTATTTTAGCCTGCTTTCACAGAAAGATGCAATTGCACCATCCATCTGTCAATGTATATATCTCTCTGCCAGTCTCCTTCTAATAACTTTTCATCTTTTTTGGACAGTTTTAATAACTTTATAAAAATGTGCAAAGCCTTCAAGGCAATTCAATTTCTACAGGTTTCGTAAAATTTGTTAATGGCATAGGAGAGAAAATGACTGTCTTCTGCCTGGCACCTCCTTACAGAGGACACAGGGAAGGACAGGACACAATGGACGTGGTGAACCTTTGGGAAGCCAGGACCAATTCTGCCATTAATGGAATTAGCTTTTCTAGATGTTCTTGTATTTCAGTGCAGCAAAAAAGTAAGCACTGATAAAGAAAAAAAAAGGCATAATAATGTGCACATCAAATACTCCCTTGAGTTTCCTTTGTCCAGATGACATCTGGCTATCAAAGATGTAGAAAACACTGCTAAGCTACATCTTGCAGTGAGACAGAAGACAGAAATTTAGTATGATGTGTGCAATTGCTGTCTCCTTAGTAAAGCTGTGAATTTATTGCAAAATGTAAGATAAGAAGTATTTTTTCAAGCAGTACATTACCATGAATGTTGTATCCTAGGGCATCCTGCAGCTCTGTAAAGGTATTTCCTTGAGCTCCAAACTGCAGCAGCTCCAAAGAAACAGCCACACTTGCTGGAGAGACTACTAGGTTGGTTCTGTTCTCTGCTTTGGATACATGCTGGTAGAGACTGATGGCAAATTCAGTCTTCAGCTCTTTCAGCTCATCATAGGAGATGCAGTTTCCTTTGGTGAAGCACCAAGCAGACAGGATAAATGCAGAGAAGAAAATAGGTAACATGAAGGCAAGCTGGGAACACTCTCCACCAGATAATCATACCTGCAATTAATAATAAAGATATATTTAGAAAAGCAATAGGCTGAGCTGACAGAGGAACTTTCCATCAGTGTTAGCATATCACTTGCAATAGTAATGATCACTGGTAAAATACCTGTCCAGATCTACCTAGTAGCTACCAGTTGTCATAAAAAATAAGGTGTAGGGATATGCTGATGACTTTGTTGATTCAAGAGAAAAGTTTTCCAGAATGCTGTACCCATATAGGATGATTGTCCATTACAGTACATGGAGAAACAGAGCCCCTCGGTTAAGAAGTTAGCTACCTGCACACATCTTGGGACACCTCAGTGAAAGTTGTGCAGTCTCCGTGCTGCTGAGCACCCACAGCTCCCTTCTGTCCCCAGCAAAAAGGGGATCACCTCTAGCACTCCCAGAAAGAAGGCCACCGCTTGTGAGCTGCCAGTGTTTGGGGGCTCTAGGCTGGGGTTTAGATCCAAGTCTGCAAAAGGTTGGCTTCAAATTCCCCTTCACAGATATTCCTTCTATAAAATTTATCCCAGTGAAAAAAAAGGTGGTATTTGCAAAAGGCTCCAGTGCTTGCAGCACAAGATCGCTGCTTCAGATTTTTACGGGAAATCAAGCATTGGTCAACGTTATATTAAGAGACACTTAGATTTGTATTTAAAGGAAAAATTCTAAAATGACAGAATAGCTTTCTTTACAGAATTTCACCTTTTGAACATTGTATGCAAGTATATTCTAAAAAATCCTGCACCTTCTTTCACTTCAGGATTTCCTACAAATCTTTCTCCATGCCCTTTGCTCTAAAGAGCACCTCTAATGCCTTGTATTTACTCACAGTTAGTTCTGTTAAATTGTCTTGCCTTTCTGTGTCCTTCTGGGTGTCTGAATGGAAGCTGTCTATGTACGTCTTGGCTCCTTCTTTAATAGGTAGTGGAGTAAAGACTAAGTCATGAGACTGCATTTAAAGGGATACTCAGTGACCAGAGTCTCTATCGGCGATGTCTGTACCACTCTGTCCAAATTCCTGTAGTCTCCAAGCTCTATGGAGAGCCAGGCAAAGTAGCATGCCACTGACCAGCAAATCCAAGGCAAGGAACAAAAAGGTACACATGGAGATACTGTCAGCAACTTCCTTGCAAGCCCTGCTCGAGCCTCATGAGGCTTGTGACCTGCTGGTACAGAGCAAGGCATCTCCTATCTCTCTTCCCACCCCCCCTCCTTCTTTTATATGAATTCCATTGATTCCTCTGGCATAAAGGG